TTTCAAAAATATAAATTTTATGTGTTTTCAGTTAAAGTTTATGAGACTTTGATCATTAAAGTTGAGTTTTCTCCATCTTCATATAGGTCATACTTTGTTGACCACTAATTCAAAGTGCAGGTGCGTTAAGGATATAGTTGTATCTTTCAGTTTAATGTGAGCGTTCATGTTTGATATTTTATTTTTTTGTGTTCACAATCAATGATCAGTTTTTTTGAATTGTATAGTGCCTTCAGGCATTGGTTTTTTTTGAATTGATCAGTGCCTTCGGGCATTAGTCCGCTAGGTGTTGAAATTTTATCACATACATATTTTCTCCTCCAAAATATCTCATAACTCATTTCTATCACTTGTTTAATTATTTAATATTTAATTAATTTTTAGTTTAACATAATTTTATTTCAAACATTATCCATATATGGTAATATATACATATTGAAAAAATTTGTTAGATTACGTATTTTTGTTTATATTTTTTTAAAAAAAATGGGTGAAAAATAAATTTTAAATGATGTAATCAAATAAATGAAAGAAAAATTATTATTTAATATAGTAGGATCAATTTTTTAGACGTTCGAATTTATATTTTATCGTGCCTTTAGGCACGAGTTATGACTATTTTTTCTCATATAATTGATAGGACAACAATCAAATCATATAATTAATACAAGGTTGATCTTAATTTTTGATGAAGATTTTGAAATTGATAGAACACATGCCAAATCATATTGTTTATGCACTCAATCAAACCAAATCGGTTGTTGCAATGATTTTATATTCTTTATTAGTTGTTGAGAATACCCAAATTGATAGATCAACAATTAAACTATAAAATGATTGATGTTTGGTTAACGATAAGCCAATATATGGTTTTGTAATTTCTTTAATTCACGCTAATAAATCTTGTGTTAAGTTATTTTTAAATAAAATAATAAAATAAGATGAAAAATAAATGATGAAATTTTATACGTATTATTCTGTAATTTGTTAAAAATAAAAATAATGTATTAAAAATGACTTTTCGATACTAAATTTTAACCCATTGGTTACACATGAGAATTGTAAGTTAGATCTAATGATTTTATTAATGTATCATAATTGATTGATTGGTTATGTGTTAATTTTGCTTCTACAAACATAGGCGATTGATTTTAGAGAGTTGAAAAAAAAATTAATCCATCAATTTTTTTATCTTTCCTATTTTTATTTTTTATCAAATATGATGTTTTATCTATCCCTTCAACTTTCTATCCTTCTAACTTTCATCCTTCTATTTTTCCATCATACTAAACGAAACATTAAAGTATTGATGCGATTCCTATTTAATCAACGGAGTTTCGATTTGTATAAATTAATCCTTAAATTATTGATTGTGTTTCCATGCGAGACTTTCGTCCATATTCATCACAAACATCAAACGATTAGTCAAATTCACAAGGGCATTTTTTGTTTATTTCTCTCATTGTCTACACCTACTACTCTAATTATAGTTATATCATTGACCCTTACCCTTAACTTATATATGATGAGATAGACACTGAGATTAACACTGATGAGTATGTTGAAATTGATCCAGATTATTCGGACTTGAATGATAGTGCTAATGATATGAGTGATAATGAATTGCATGTAAAAACTGTGGACACAGGTGTTGAGTGAGAATGTCTTTAATCAAAAAATGTTGAAAGTGAGACAAGTAAAAAAAAAATGCAATTTTGACAACTTAATTGCAGATGAAATTAACTTCATTTTATATGATGGAAGATATTTTCAAGTGGGTAACTCTTTCTTGAACTGGTATGTTTGGAGAAATAATCAATAATATAAAATAAAGTAAATTTTAATAAGTTCATTCGACGGTTTTAAATAAATTTATTTAATGGTCACCAACATCCTTCTCAAAACTATTCATATTATCCCCTTCTCAAAACTATTCATATTATCCCCTTCTCAAAACTATTCATATTATCCCTAGTGCTCTATATACATGGGCAGACAATTGTCTTGTCAATTTACAAAGTTAACCGTTGTTAACTTTTGTTAAAGACAAATTAGCTTTATTTTATGGCATGGCTTTGTCTGACAAGGAGATGATAGGGGCATTTTTTCGCACCCACTTGGTGTGCAAAACCTACCCAAAATTTCTCTATGGAAGGAACTTCTTAAGAATGCAAAAGTTAGATAGGCACTTGAATTCTCATTATAGAATTTTGCTTATGAAACTCATACTTGCTAGCAGTTCTTTTTTGAGGGAATAACAAGTAGAAGATTCACAAAATTATTTTTCATTATGTTTTGAAGCATGCATTGAGACCTAAGGCCCAACTACTCTGTTCGCAAATATTGTGTTAGTTTTGATTTTGGATCGATATGCAATTTCGAGTTAAAGATAAATTTTAGCTATAAATAATTTAATTGTACATAGAAATTATTCATTTATATTGAACAAAAATTGGGTCCAAAATGTACAAGAATAGTATCAGATGTGATAAACTTTTCTCCCATTGACAAAATATTGCAGTGAGATTATATAGAGATATGATTGAAACTCAGAAAATAGTCAAATTTTTTGAAATTTGAACATTAAGATTGTCCAAATTCAATCAAGTCCAAAAGTGTGAAAATTTATTTATTTATTTATTTTTGTATAAAAATATGATGCAAAATAAGCATCACGTGCTCAGCACGTGACTTCTCCAACGTCACTTATTCTTGTGGTTCCGGCCCATATAAGAGCTCGCACTTCCCTTCATACGTAAACCCTAATTAACCCCCCAACCCAATCTCTTTTACTTCGGCGCTAACAGTCTTGGCCCTCAGCTGCTGCAAACTCTTGCCGTATCCAGATCTCTCTCTCTCTCTCTCTCTCTCTCTCTCTCTCTCCATCCACCGCTTCGCCTTCGTGTAAGTCCCTTTCACTCTCATTTTCTGTTTGGTTTCCGAGAAAACGAAACAGAAAACGCCATAACTTTTGTAAGTTTTTGTTATCATTGTGATTTTTTTCGCTCAGTTTCTCTAGATCTATTCTTCATCTCTCCTTTCATCCTATATTACGAACATAAACACACTCGAATACGTGTATTTAGGTATGTATCGATGTGTGTATGGATATAAAGTGTGCGAATGTATGTTTGGTGGGATGCAATGTAGGTTGCATTAACTTATTCAGAATGTTGAGTTTGATAACTGAGAAAACGTTTGGTTGGAATTTATACCAGACATAGTCAGGTGTCTACATTGGACGTTATGTAGGTATCGTTACATGTCTGGTAAATTGAAGATGGAGAAGAAAAGCTGATGAATGGGTTTCCCAGCCATCGCATATTCTCTCTTGAAAGTGTCCATCGTTGCCCAATAATATGCATCTAATTATTATTTGAGCTACATCTGGACCGTACATCTCTATTTACATCCATTGGTACTTTGCGGCAGAAAAAAAGACTACTTTTTTAATATTGTGTCTTTTGCTGTGGTTTCACAGCAACCATTGAAAGCATTATGAACAACTTGTTAAAAAGTTATGCACAATTTTCTGACCAGTGACTTTGTATATATTGCTTTAGTTTCTTGAGTTTTGGAGAATTACTAAGGAGCTGCTGAAGGTATGGGTCGTGTTCGCACCAAGACTGTAAAGAAGTCCTCTCGACAGGTGATTGAGGGGTATTACTGTAAACAATAATGATAGATGGACTTAAAAATTGGGTTTGATAAATTCTAACAATTGAATAGTTGTAATTATAAGTGAAATCAATAGTTGTAATTATTAAAATTAGTTTTTAAGTATATTTTTTAAATCCATGTAATAGCCTTACTCCAAAATGATTTTGGATTTCCACACAAACAAGAAGATCTTGGAGGAGGTTGCTATAATTCCCTCAAAGCTCTTAGGAATAAGATATCTGGCTTTTCCACCCACCTTATAAAGTGGATTCAGAAGGGCGCAGTTCTGAGGTATTTCCCTAAAACTGCAGCAGGAAGAGCGTTTCCCTAAAACTTCAGCAGAAAGAGCGCGAGAGGTGCTTGGACTTTGTGCCTGATGAATCTGCCATTAAGACTGATGTAATTGGGGTTCACAAGGAGACCATTGACATGCTTTCTGCTCTTGGTATGGGTGACCTCCTGGGGTCGTCCAGCAAGCAGTTGAGCCACAGGCTATGCCTTCTGCTCCGACTTTTGGGCGTGGACATAGTGGTGCTGGTGGTTTTGCAAGGAGATATTGAGGTTTGTGGTGAGCCTCTATGGAGTTGTTTCAAGAACAAGGTCCATGGTTACTGTAGAACTGGTGTCCAGTCTTGATATCGACATGTAATCAAAAGGGTCCAAGGAGAATAAGTTGACTCATATTCTCTCTAATTAATGAACTAATAGTTCAATTACAAGTATCAAGACATTTGTTGTATTTGTGCATAGTATTTTGTAGAGCTATTTATGCTAATATAAGGAGGAAATTTTTATATTCAGATAGATACATAATACATAGACGCTCATTGCATGCTTCGTGTCCTTTGATTGTGCTTATCCTTTCTTGGCACACTGTCGTATATATCTCTTGCTTAAAAACTATTTATTGAATAATAATGTGTTTTTCAGGCTTACATGTTTTAAAATTTAGTGTTCGATTTTTTCCTCTGTTGCTGGGTGTGCTTCGTCACTTTGCCTGTTCTTGACCCATGTTTTGTTTTTTTTAAGGTCTACTAGCGATCACCCAATGCAATGCATGAAATTTACAATCTTTTTCCATCATCACCCCCCACTCCACCTCTCATCGTCTCCCAACTCCCTCACCACCCCCTGCTACGCCACCTAAGATAGCCACCAAGAAAGAAATTTGACATGAGAACATTATGATAAAAAGGGGTGACATTTGTTCAGCTTTTAAATTGCAAGGTAAACTGGCGTTTCCCTGGTTAAATCCTGGAATAAACATGCATTAACCAAAAAATGAATGAAATTATCCACAATGTGCACTGCAATTGATTAGAAACTGAGAAACTCAATTTTACACGGATTTCTTAACGAAATCAAAATGAGAAAAGACAAAATACAACATTATTGGGTATCATCAAGAGCTCAGAAAATTATAAAAGTAAGGCATTGCATCTGGGACCAGTAGCCAATAAAACATCTCACAGACACCATTGAGATAGATAGGAGATTCTATTCTACATATACCAATGATCAAGCTCTCCACTAATAGTATTAAAACTGCCGTAAGTTATCAAAGTTAGAATCATCATCACCATCGATGTAAGTATCATAATATAAGCCATCATCAGAGTTACTGTCATCTGAGCCAACATCGCTATCCTCAGTATCGGAAACTACATCAAGAGTTTTGTACGAATTCCAGTCAGGTGGGAAAGTCTTCTGCAGGGCTTCTGTGATCTCTCCACCTGTGTTCTCAATCTTGCGCAAACACTTGGACCAGTGAACGGCAGTCCCCATATCAACTGTCAGTCCAGATTGCACCATCTCTCCACACACACACAGTATCCCCGAGTAAATGTACTCTTCGGCAATGCTAGTCCTTGATAGCAATGAAGTCATCAAACAATGATACACGGCTTTGTCTGGCTTCAAGCCAGCCAACTTCATCTCTTGAAAGCAACTCAAAGCCTTGTCAGGGAGAGATGCACGAGCCCAACCATGTATTAGGGTGGTATACGTTTTTACATTTGGCCTTACCCCAACAGCTTCCATCTCTTGAATAGTTTTTGTTGCTCTCTGTAAAGAGAACTTCATCTTAGCTATTCTGAATGGAGATGAAATTATTCAATCTCTTGGTTTTCCAATGACAAGAAAAGAACTTTGCTAATGCACAGTAGAACCAATAACCATCACAAAGGTGACTAATGTTGCCAGACAGAACAATAATAAATTAAATGCTATGTTAAAAAAAAAAAAAGTTCTACATTATATAAAGCAGGATTACGTAATCCTTAAATCTCTGTAAAATCACGAAATGATGTTCGGGAGAAAACACTAAAATGAAACTGTTCATTGCCGATTAGTAGCTAAATCCTCTTTTTAAGTATGTTCCTTGTCAACAGTTTAATGGAAGTAAAATACTGGAATAGTTAGCGAAGACTTACCAGCATGTCTCCAGCTTTGCAACAAGCATTTATGAAAGAAGTGTAAGTATGGATGTCTGGTTGAACCTCTTCTTGTTTCATCTGTTGCATCAAGTCAGCAGCCTCCCAAACATCACCTCTTCGAGCCCATCTACATGGAAAAAGCAACACACAAAAAACACAGAACTTGAAAATGAATATTCCAATCATTGGAGCCTCCTTTTTTACCTACAACTTTTGACAATAATAAAATTTGAAACAATTCATACCCATCTATTAATATGTTGTAGACAAAGGTGTTTCTAGGAATTTTTTGAGCACTCATTTCTTTTGTCACCGCTAGAGCGCTTTGCATCCTGCCTGACTTGCAACATGCTTTGAGTAATGCCTCGTACGTGTACACATCAAGATCCAGCCCCTCATTTTTTAGTTTAGAGAAATACTCAAAAGCTTTCCCAGTATCACCCAATGATGCATAACCATGCATAATAGTTGTGTATGTGTGCTCATTTGGGCTAATGCCTGCAAGCATCATCTCATCTAGAATTTCAACAGCCTTCTCCATCTGCAAGAAACAAAAATAAATCAAATTATCTATACCTCTCTTTAGGAGGGGAAATAAAAATTAACTGACATATCTTTACTTCTACACCTTCCCATTACTAAAATTGCTTTAAAACAGTTAAATAGAAACTTGGAAAACATACCAAATCATAGTTCTTCATGTCAAATGCAAAGCCCATAAAATAAGAGACAAGAAAAAGGCTGGATAGCCAAGAAACAAAAAACATCCAGCGATGTGTAGACAACTGTCCCTATGACCACTGTAGGCCTTAGCCTAGAAGGCAGCCAAAAATCAAAAGAAACTAGTCCAATTTCTCTAAAACTATAAGCTTATGGGATACGGTAAATTAACATTAAAGATAAATTATAATATCCATGGAACTTTGAACATCACAATTGCTTAGTTGACTAGTCAAATTACGGCATAAGACGTTTGGCTTTCCAAGAAGTAAAAATAATTACCACCACTGCCAATTTAGCCTTCACACAGGTACCCGTGCCTGCACAGCACTTGAACGTGTACAGACACAAGGTTATGGTTGCACCAAATCTATAATGACAGTCGTAGCAGTTTTTCCAATTTTGGAGTAAATTTTCATATGTGTCACAAAATTGTAGGCACATTGAGCCTAGCAAACATGCCATGTTCTGCACCGACAAAAGAGGATGACGACGCAGAAGCAGGCACATACACCTCCTTTAAAGGATTTAGACCAGATCCGAACATAGGATCTCGATGTTCCATATTTATTTTATTATGGGGTCTTCACCTGACGCTTTTCAACAAGGCCGAGAATCAGAGCATTGAATGTGTGCACAGTTGGAGTGCATCCACTCCTCCTCATCATATCAAAGATCTCCAGGGCACTTCGCATATCTCCAGCTCTTGCAAAACCATGTATGATTGGCATAAAAGTCCGTGATGTAGGCCTATGTCTCTCTTTTTGCATATCCTCAACAGTTTGAATGGCGCGACCCATGTTACCCATGCCACAGAATGCTCTAATGATGTTGTTGTAGAGCACAGCATCTGGTTTTAAACCATCTCTCATTACATCTTCAAACACCGCAAATGCATTTGCCCAATCTTTTAATTTTATGAATCCATTGATCAACATGGAATAAGTCTTCATGTTATGTTTTTTGCCAGCCACTTTCATCATTTCACAAACCTCCAAAGCTTTGAAAACTTTACCCATCTGAAATAGTGAATTGTGCAATTCTGCTGATTAAAATCACAACCATAGCAAAGAAGTTAAACATATCAAGATAATAGGTAAAAGCATGGATAAGGTAGCGACAAACATAAATGCAGAAAAATCGGATACGAAAAAAAGTTCCAACACAATCCATGTGGCAAGTTTGCACAGTACTGAAATGACAGAAGGAACAGCATGCTTCTGTACACACTTTCAATAAGGTTAAGATAGTCCTGACAAACGAATTGCATAGTGCCACATATTTCTGACACATTATGTTGACCACAAGCCTTTAGTGCAGTATGTGATAATATGATAGCAAACACCTTGACAGCAACACTTGTAAAAGACCGCCACATTATGTGACCCAGTTAAAAGGCTTAGCAGGCTTGAAATAAGAGTAGAAAGGGAAATTTAAAGCGAGCTTGTATTATACACGAAGTACCACAGTAAATTGTATGCCTTAAACCTAGGAAGCACGGACACTTCATTTTGAGCAGTGTGTCGGTGTCGGACACGTCTGGGACACGGACACGCTTCGGACACGCTCGGACAAGTATCGGACACGTTAAAATGAGTGTCCTATTTTTTTATTATTAAATTTTTTTTAGGACACGTGGCCGACACGTTGGGACATACTGGAAGACACGTTTTGAAATTTATTTTCAATTTTTTTGAGAACTTTTCAGATAATTTTATAATTGGAAATTATTTTTATAATTTTAAAGGTATATGAGTCACAATCATAATATAAAAGAAGTTATAATAATTACATTGAACATAGGACATGAATATAATATAATTTTGGATATGAATACGAACTTATATACAAATGGAATAGTCTTTTAATATAAAAATAATGTGAGAAAAAATGGGATTACAAAATTAGAACTCTTAGAATTTGATGAAAATTAGTATTACGAAATGAAATATTTTTAAAGTAAAAGTTGTAAAAGTCATTGATTATTGAATTATGGATGTTAATATTGTATGTGTATTAAAATATCTTATATTATTCTTTTCATGCAATGATATCATGATGTAAATTTTTAGAATTAGGAAAATAATGAATTAAAAGATTATTATGATAATATTTTTATTTTATCACGTGATTTTATATAAATATATATATATATATAAAATACATATTATTTAATGTATCGCTAACGTGTCCGTGTCCTACTTTTTTGAAAAATTTCGTATCGGCGTGTCCGTGTCGTGTCGTATCCGTGTCCGTGCTTCTTAGCCTTAAACAGGAACGGAAAAATATTTAAAGGACGGGGAACAAAACAAAACAGTGTATGAAGTATCTAGAGCACAAGGTAAAACAGAGAGAATATTCATTTGTGCTTTACAATATTTGCACTTATTATGCCTTTCCCATGATGCATTCATTCCCAAGGATGTGCTACATTCATGACATCTATCTTTAGGTTTATATAAACCAAGACAAAACTCATAAGCCCAAATATACAAGTATTACTCGGGGGAGGAAAACGCCACAGAGAATCCAACTAAACCTTGTGAAGGAACCTTGAGGTTTTCAGCGCATTACATTCTCAACAATGTTTGCGTTATTCAAGCCGACATTCTCGCTTCCGATTCTTTGTCCACTACCGCTCACGCGGGTTAAATCAAAACTAGGTTTCAATCAAAATTAAACATCACAGAAACTTCATTTGAAAATCAGGTGCGGAAGAGACTAGAGGTAACTCAAAACCATAAACACTAAGTTACTTACCATTTATCTTATATTTGTGCTCGATTTTCTATTATCTAAACAATATATAATACAAATATATATACACGTAGTAAATTAATATGTATATTACATTTGTACTACGTGTACAATTTGGGATCGTACATTTTTGTGATCTGGATCGCCAACCCCCCCCCCCCTCGGGTTTGGGATCGATGTACCCCGATCATAGGTCGTTAGGGCATCACCAATACGTTCTACATTCTACAATCCTCCAAAAATCAATTCTCCCATAGCTATCATAACCCTTACATGTGCATGCTATGATATTTTGAAAGTTCATTGTGTTTGTTATTATATATGTTGGTTTCAATTAACTTTAATAGGGTGTATATACCAAATGTTGAATAAATTAAGCATGATTAGTATAGGATTACTTAATTTGATTAAGTTCCCTAACCATGGATTATGTTAAGTTAATTGAGTCTAGAAATGCCTAACTAAAAGATTAGCTTTACTAATCAAGCCACCATTGTGGACTTTTCAAACAGGTGCTTGTGTGAATAAGAGAGAGAAAGTGTTAGATGAAGACACCTCAAGAAAGAGACAAGTCTAAGAATACAAGTGTCTTACTTATACATATACATATACATATGTGTGTATATGCGTCTTGCAGTTATATATCTTGTAACTAAAGAAAGAGAAAGGACGAGCTTGCCTAGGAAACGAGGTGCTTGTGTAGAGAATGAGAGTAAAGTAAGAGAAAAAGAGGAGAAGAAGAAGGGGGGGGGGGGATTCAAGGAAGTAATCTAGGACTTGGAATTACTCTCGAAGTATGATTCTTGTTTTTAAGTATGTATTATTTACTTTAATGGGAAAGAATTAAGTAATAACAATCAAGAAAAGGAGAAGTAAACAAGAAATAATGTTCTAGTTAGTTTAATTGTAAGGCTATGAATATTTTACATGATAAGAACCATATAGTTGTTAATAATGGAATTTAAACAGTTTTCAGAATTCTAAAAATTCTGGACAGCAGGTGTTCTCGGGGATAGTTATGAGTTACAATTGGTTGATGATTCTTAAATTTTGAGGGTTTGAAAAAGATTAGTAAAGGGTCTTTTTGGCTTTGGTTTGATTCCCAAAAACTGTTTTTTGTTCTCAAATCTCAAAAAATTTTCAAAACTTGTTTGGTTTGAGATTTTGTTCTCCAATTTTCGGAAAATATAGGGGATTGAAGCATAAAACTAGAAAACAAGTTGGGATTGTTTTCAAGCTTATTTCTGCCAAAACTAGAAAACACGGGGGCTTGTTTTCAAGCTTAATGAGGTCTCCCCTTCAAGTTTCCTTAGAAGCAAAACAAGTCATAGTATAAAAGCTTTTTTTTTTCTTTTGCCTTTTCTCCCAGACTCTCATCACTCTATCTATCTTTCTCTCTCTCTCTCCACAGACTCTCTCAGACGGAAGTCTTCTTCGGCAACTATGTCTTCTCCGGCAAAACACACACACACACTGGAGCTCTCCGACAACTAGATCTACTGCGAGCTCTCCGACGATTGTTTCAAATCTAGTTTAATCGGCGAAAACACAGATCTGAATTTTTTTTTTTTATCTGATCTGATTTTTTTTGTTTAGATCTGGTTATATATATATATGATGTTTTTTATCAAACACATATCTGATTTTTCTTTTTTTGATATGATCTAGTTTGTTTGGTTCAGATCTCAAGTTATATATATATATATATATATATATATATATATATATATATATATATATATATATATATATATTGTAAAGAATCAGAATATTGACACAGATCTGATGTTTTTTATCAAACATAAATCTGATTTTTTTTTTTTGATATGATCTGATTTTTTCAGAATAGACACAGATCTGATTTTTTTTTTTTACCAAACACAGATCTGATTTTTTTTTTTTGATATGATCTGATTTTTTTGGTTCAAATCTCAAGTTATATATATAAAATATATAAATAAATATATATATATATGTAAACCAAGGGGCTTTAGATCTCATATTTTTTTGTTCATTGATATTGATTATGTTATTGGTGTCGTTATTGATTTGATATTTTTTGGGTAAAAAACAATTTATTGTTATTTGGTTGATTGTTTATATATATAAATTGATATTGAATCTGTTATAAATTGAAGATCGTTTAATTTGTTTAGTTTATTTTAAAATTTGGTTTATTAAATTTTTTTTATGAAACTGTCCATCTAAAAATAATGTTCACGTATTATTTTATTAATTTTTGAATTATTGTACAAATATATATTTAAACTGTCCAAATAATTTTTACTGTTTTCTATTCAGTAAAACTGTTTTTGAAATCATATAACCAAATAAGTTTTTCGTCTCAGAAAAAATCAAAATTACTTTTCTAAAACTCTTCCCAAAAACTTTTTTCAGATACTATTTTTTGAGACGCAAACCAAACAAGGTCTCAAGTTTTGGTGAATTTCTAAAGTTGACCCTGACCTGCTGAAACATAAAAATCTGCAGCTTATGCTCACTTTACAAGTTGTTTTGAACATGTATTTGATTTCCACAAATAATAATTTTTGGTGAAAATGAAGTTCTTTGAGTCTAGTTTTATTTGCCATTAGCCGTGTGAAGTTTCAACTTGTTTAAGTTAGGTTATGAAACTTTTAAAGTGCAAAGGTCTAATCTGGCAGATTATAAAATGTATGCACAAATGGGAAATTTAAATGGGATTAAAACTAACCAATAGACCTTTGGTCTAATGGTACTCCTTGTCTTATGAAGGTTTTACTTTCTTGAGGTCAAGGGTTCAAGCCTCCTTCCCCATCCCCATCCCCAAAAAAAAAATAAAAAGAAAAAAAAAACTAAAAATTTGAAGGTGTTAACCAAGAGGTTTAAAGGACTAAAATTAATGTCTTTTCTCTTACTTAAGAAGGAAGAAGAATAACAATAGCTATTGTTAACACTGGGAAGAAAATCATTAGGGATCAATAGTAGACCTATTAAGTACTTACAAATAAGAGTTGCTACTGATGCGTGATGTGATGAAAGTTGTGTATGAAATATGTGTAAGACTTGATAAAGGGAGTCAAGAGTTAGAAAGTTTGGTTAAGCACTAAGATGAATAATCTTATACCTTGGAAAGAAATTTTGATGCCCAAGTCTTTTCTAAATGCTTTCATAGACTTATCTGAGAAATCCTGTATTGATTACACTATTGTGATGCCATGGATTATCAATTGAATTGGAAATTTCTATGTATTACGTGTCAATGCCATAATAGGTCCCAGTC